CACTGTGTGTATACTGTGCGTGTGTACACTGTGGCGTGTGTACACTGTGTGTGTACACACGCACACTGTACACAGTGTGTGTACACACACTATGTACACTGTGTGTGTGTACACTCTGTGTGTACACCATTGCGTGTGTACACTGTGTGCACAGTGTGTGTACAGTGTGTGTACACTGTGAGCGTGTGTGTGTACACAGTGTACACACACACACGCACACTGTGTACAGTGTGGGTGCACTGTGTACACTGTGTGTGCATTGTGTACGTACAGTGTGCGTTACATGTACGCACACAATCAGACAAGTATTCATTCTAAATTATTGACAGGCATATGCACAACATTTAATTACTGCAGTGAAATATACTGCATCAGATGACATCTTATTCTCTGGTTCTTTCAGTAAAGTCTCGTAGAACGAAATTTAATAGAATACGACGTTTCGATTGGAACACAAGCAACCATCGTCAGGTACAACAAGTGAATGAGAAAACATAGTGAACTTAGAAATATAATGCAACACAACACAAGAGTCAGCCAACACAACAGTCAACACCCTACCTGGTTGATTACGTTCTGCCAAAATTGAACAATTTAGTTTAGATAACATCTTATTAACAAGGAGCTATTTAAAGAATGCACCCTCTACTGAACAGTGGATGTGAAACACATAATGTGCAATTCAAAACGAGTAGGCCTTTGCATGTTGGCGTCTGGGTCAAAAATGTAGCAAATTCTAAACATTACCTACTAACGACACAACTGAGATGACAGATCATCGCCCCCTACTGACAGGCTCTTGTCCACACGCAGGCCGGTGCAGGGCCACCACCTTGTGCCACACAGGGGCAGCTGCTACTTGGGGTGCTCTTAGAATGTTTGAGACGAGGTACGATACAAAACTCCGAGTTGCTGAGCGGATTAAGTCAGCACCATGTAAAAGCAATTATAACATCGTGAATGCTTGGGAGCTTATTGGCTCTCAGAGATCTACCCAACACACAGGTCCACAAAGACTGGCCACCCTTACCCTGCAGACTGAACCTAGGAACCGAGTGTTCAACTTCACGTTATTGTCATTAAAGGCCTGTGACAAAGGTGCATCTATTGGAGCGACATCGTCTCTGGCTTACACATTTACCGGGTCTCCATTTCACTTTGTATTGTCTCGGAGGAAGTCCACCGACACCTCCACTTCCACAAACTGCTGGGAGTTGCCTCGCTCTGCCTCAGTCAGAATTCTCCTCCTGCTTCACGTTGCCTCCATCCATGTGAAGGTCACATTCTGGACTTGAATCTTCATCTTCACACTTTACCTTCACTTCTTTACTCTTCACCATCACTTCTTCACATTCCACCTTCACCTCTTCATATTTCACCTCGTTACCTTTAAAAGTGTCCAAGCTGGGATTTTCTTCCGGTTCTTGTTTGATGAGGGATGGGCTCATTGCAGCACTTTGACTTTCACAAGCTGATTTCACACTCCAGTCCTTGTGGATCTTCTGATGCTTGTGTCTTCTCTGGTGTACTTGAAGATTGGAAGAATCTGAAAACGCCTTCCTGCACAGAATGCACTTGAAGGGTTTCTCTCCCGTGTGTGTTCTCTGGTGTCTTTTAAGATCTGATGACCGTGAAAGTGCCTTCCCACACACAGTGCACTTGAAGGGTTTCTCTCCCGTGTGTGTTCTCTGGTGTTTTATAAGAGAAGATGACTGTGAAAATGCCTTCCCACACACAGTGCACTTGAAGGGTTTCTCTCCCGTGTGTGTTCTTTGGTGTGTTACAAGAGTAGATGAATGTGCAAATGCCTTCCCACACACACTGCACTTGAAGGGTTTCTCTCCCGTGTGTGTTCTCTGGTGTCTTACGAGATGATGTAAAAAAGAAAACGCCTTCCCGCACAGAGTACACTTGAAAGGTTTCTCTCCTGTGTGTGTTCTCTGGTGTCTTTTAAGAACAGATGACCGTGAAAGTGCCTTCCCACACACAATGCACTTGAAGGGTTTCTCTCCCGTGTGTATTCTCTGGTGTTTTTTAAGAGAAGATGACTGTGCAAATGCCTTCCCGCACAGAGTACACTTGAAAGGTTTCTCTCCTATGTGTGTTCTCTGGTGTCTTTTAAGATTATTTGACTGTGAAAATGCCACCCCACACACACTACACTTGAAGGGTTTCTCTCCCGTGTGTGCTCTCTGGTGTCTTTTAAGATAATATGACCGTGAAAATGCCTTCCCACACACACTGCACTTGAAGGGTTTCTCTCCTGCGTGAGCTCTCTGGTGCTGTGTCAAATTTCCAGTCCGCTCCGTGCTGTATCCACGCCGGTCGCATTGTTGCCTTGCCGTACTGAGCTGTGCTGAGCGCCTTTGCTCCATCAGACCAAGCGACAGCTGCAGACAGAAAAAAATTATATCCACACCACCTACACGTCAGACACAGAGTAATGCATATACACAGTCACACGTGACTTACACGTCTATACTTATTCATATATTCATGATGTAGTGAAAAAGTTTCCCAAATTCATCACAGAGGCTGTTATTGCACACAATGAGAGGGCAAATGGTCATAAAAATGCCTGGAAGCCCTCGTATCTCCGTGGTGAGATGTTAACTACCTCACCTGGTATACAGAAAGTCGTGGGTTCGATCCAGACCCTGACGCCTGCTGCTGTATATTTGGAGTTTGCGTGTCTCTCTCTCTCCGTGGTGAGATGTTAACTACCTCGCCTGGTATACAGGAAGTCGTGGGTTCGATCCCGACCCTGACGCCTGCTGCTGCTGTATATTTGGAGTTTGCGTGTCTCTCTCTCTCCGTGGTCGCGTGGATTTTCCTCCGAATCTCCCGGGTTTCCCCTCCACATTTAGAGTCAACATCAGCACGCGTGCAGCGTCTTTAACCGATACACATTTCCACACGTATTCTTGGTTCTTTCGGTAAAGTCACGTAGATAGACAATAACAACAGATAATAAAATCAAACAAAGGCAACGTGTGTTGCGATCGAAACGTCGTGGGGTTTTATTTATTTATTTACAATTTGTTTACTTTTAGTAATTTTATTATCTGTTATTTTTACTAAATTTTCTATCTCCGTGACTTCACCAAAAGAACCAAGAATATGAATTGCTGCAGTTACGAAAGTTTAAAGTCAAAACATTGACACACGCGTTGACAAAACCCACCTTGTGTCGTGGGCAGGTAGCTTCTATAAACAAGAGCGGTACAGCAGCTCAGGCGGGCTTGGGCTGGAAAAAAACGAAAAAAAAAACTGCGTTAATATCTACAATAAACCAAAGTGACAAAGTAGCGAGCCGCGTGAAGACAAATTAAACTTAAGGGAGGGAATTAAAGCAAACGCGACCAGGCGAGGGCAGGAGGCAAGGCCCCGCGTGTCTAGGCCCCGCGTTGTAAAGTTCCAACTTGGACATCGATTCACAAGCTGCTGCTGCTCTAGTGACATCCCTACGAGAGAGAGAGCGATGCTCTAGCTTGGTAAACAACAACAACAACCACAACAACCACAACCACAACAACAACCGCAATGAAAATTTCTCACCTCGGATTGCAGTTCACGCGCGGACCTCCAGCTTCCTGTTAGCTCGTGACGTCACGCGGCAGCAGATGACATGACGTCACGCGGCAGCAGATGACATGACGTCACGCGGCAGCAGATGACATGACGTCACTTTCTGGGGTACAAGACTCTCCCCTCCCACAATGAGAGGCTACCCTAACTGAATAAATTAATAAATTATGTTGATGTTTGCGATCATCAACATTATCAATAAACATCATTTACACCATCATATACAACAACATCATCAGCATCAACAACATCATCAGCATCAGCAACATCATTAATAACATCATCTACACCATCATCAGCAACATCATCACCACCCCTAGCATCAGCAGCAATATCATCAACATCATCAGAAGCAGCATCAACAACATCATCAGCATCAACAACATTATCAGCAACATCAACAACAACATAATCAGCAATCAGCATCAACAACATCATCAGCAGCATCAACAACAACATCAGCATCAACATCATCATCAGCATCAACAACAACATCAGCATCAACAACAACATCAGCAACAACAACAACAGCAACATCAACAACAACATCAACAACATCAACAACAACATCATCAACAACATCAACATCAACAACATCATCAGCATCAACAACAACATCAGCAACATCGTCACCATCTAGAACAGAGGGGAGGGAAGACTGCGGCCTAGTCGGCCTCGGGCCATCCCGAGTTTTCCTAGCGGACCCGCCGCGCCCGGAGCGCCTCCCCCGGCAGGAGTCGGGATCGAATAACGGGTCCGCCGGGCGTGGTGAACACACATACACACAGTGTACACACACACACACAGTGCACACAGTGCACACAGTGTACACACACACAGTGTACACACACACAGTGTACACACACACACACAGTGCACACACACAGTGCACACAGTGTACACACACACATAGTGCACACACACAGTGTACACACACACACACAGTGTACACACAGTGTACACACAGTGTACACACACACAGTGTACACACACACAGTCTACACACACAGTGCACACACACAGTACACACAGTGCACACAGTGCACACACACAGTGTACACACACACATAGTGCACACACACACAGTGTACACACACACACACAGTGCACACACACAGTGCACACAGTGTACACACACACATAGTGCACACACACACAGTGCACACACACAGTGTACACACACACACACAGTGCACACACACAGTGTACACACACAGAGTGTACACACACACACACAGTGTACACACACACACAAAGTGTACACACACACATTGTACACACACACAGTGTACACACACACAGACAAACACACACAGACACACAGTGTGTACACACACAGTGTACACACAAACACACAGTGTACACACACACAGACACACACACAGAGTGTACACACACACAGTGCACACACAGACACACATACACAGTGTACTCACACACACACAGTGTACACACACACAGTGTACTCACAGACACACAGTGTACACACACACAGTGTACACACACACAGTGGACACACACACACAGACACACACAGTGTGTGTACACACACAGTGTGTACACACACAGTGTACACACACAGTGTACACACACAGTGTACACACACACACAGTGTACACACACACACAGTGTACACACACAGAGTGTACACACACACACAGTGCACACACAGACACATACACAGTGTACACACAGACACACAGTGTACAGACACACATACACAGTGTACACACAGATACACAGTGTACACACAGACACACAGTGGACACACACACACAGACACACACAGTGTACACACACAGTGTACACACACACACAGTGTACACACAGTGTACACACACAGTACACACACACACTGTATACACACACACACACAGACACACACACAGACACACACAGTGTGTACACACACACAGTGTACACACAGACACACAGTGTACACACACACAGACACACACACAGAGTGTACACACACAAACACAGTGCACACACAGACACACATACACAGTGTACACACAGACACACAGTGTACACACACACAGACACACACACACAGACACACACAGTGTACAAACAGACACACACAGTGTACACACACACAGACACACACAGTGTACACACACACAGACACACAGACACACAGTGTACACACAGACACTCCAACACACAACCGGTTAGTGCTGCTCCAGTGACAGATTGGCACGGTATGTCACGTGATAAACCTTGCGAATCGGCTGTCGGCTGATGGCCGGTTTAACGACACGCATACATTCAAACTTTATTTGGAGTTGGAGTTTGTGTCTCTCTCTCATCATCACGGTGGCTAGGAGATGTTAACTACCTCGCCTGGTATGCAGGAGGTCGTGGGTTTGATCCCGATACTGAAGATTCTTGCTGTATATTTGGAGTTTGTGTGTCTCTCTCTCATCATCACGGTGGCTAGGAGATGTTAACTCCCTCGCCTGGTATACAGGAGGTCATGGGTTTGATCTCGATCCTGAAGATTCTTGCTGTATATTTGGAGTTTGTGTGTCTCTCTCATCATCATCACGGTGGCTAGGAGATGTTAACTACCTCGCCTGGTATGCAGGAGGTCGTGGGTTCGATCCCGGCCCTGGCGACGCCAACTGCTGTATATTTGGAGTCTGCGTGTCTCTCTCTCTCTCTCATCATCATCAGTGAGTGGGTGAGGTGAGTGGGTGGGTGAGTGTGTGAGGTGAGTGTGTGAGCGAGTGTGTGAGCGAGTGGGTGTGCGGGCGAGTGTGTGAGGTGAGTGTGTGAGGTGAGTGTGTGAGGTGAGTGTGTGAGCGAGTGGGTGTGCGGGTGAGTGTGTGAGGTGAGTGTGTGAGAGAGTGTGTGAGCGAGTGGGTGTGCGGGTGAGTGTGCGGGTGAGTGTGTGAGGTGAGTGTGTGAGCGAGTGGGTGTGCGGGTGAGTGGGTGGGTGAGTGTGTGAGCGACTGGGTGTGTGAGGTGCGTGGATGGGTCAGTGAGTGGATGAGTGAGGAGGGGTACCAGGTCGTCTACTGGGGGTGAGGGGTCATTATACAGGGCGGTTCAAAGGTCAAGACACAGTTTCTTGGGTTTCTATTTTATTGTGATTTTCCGAGTTTACAAAGGTAGCTCTGCTTGAACGCGTCTCTCTCCATCCGTCTCTCCACTCTCTCTTCCTCTCTCCACTGCTGGGCCTGTAGGCTTGGCCCGAGCGAGTTCCCGCCTTTTCACGAGTTGATTCCGCCCCCCGCCGTGGCTTTGTCGGCACGAGGCTTCTGCGCCGGTGAGTGTCAAGGGCTCCAACGGGCCCCAAACCGCTGCCCCGTCGTCACCGCCGCCGTGGACAAAGCGCCGATGCTCGACATCATGAGCTGCGTGGAGAGGGACCTTCTGGACCTCGTGTTGCGCACGGGGTACAACGTCGTGCAGGAGAACGGACAGAGGAAGCTGGGACCGCCGCCCGACTGGCAGGGCCCCCCTCCCGCCCGCGGCTGCGAGGTGTTCGTGGCGAGGATCCCGCGCGACCTGTACGAGGACGAGCTGGTGCCCGTGCTGGAGGCGGTGGGGCGGCTGTACCAGCTGCGCCTCATGACGACGTACCGCGGAAAGAACCGCGGCTACGCGTTCGCCACCTTCGCGACGCGCTCGCAAGCCGCGGACGCCGTCAGGAGACTCCACGAGTCGGAGATCCGCCCGGGGCGACGGATCGCGGTCCGCGTGAGCGTCGACAATCGCCGCCTCTTCATCGCGGGGCTGCCGAAGGTCAAGACGCGGGCCGAGGTGATGGCGGCGATGAGCGACGCCACGGAGGGCGTCGTGGGCGTCAAGATGCGCTTCTGTCGCCACGACAGGAGCCTCAGCCGAGGCTACGCGCTCGTCGAATACGAGAGCCACCGCGCGGCCTGCGTGGCCCGCAGGGTGCTGCTGCCGTACTCCTTCCGGCTGTGGGGCCGGGACATCAACATGGACTGGGCCATCCCGCAGCGAGAGCCGGGGGCGGCGGCCGCTGCTGCTGCCGCGGCGGTGGCAACGGAAGACAACGAGGAGGGGGGGGAGGAGGAGGCGGCAACTGAAGACGAGGAGGAAGAGGTGGTGGAGGAGGAGGAGGTGGAAGAGGTGGTGGAGCGGGAGGAGGAGGCAACGGAAGACGAGGAGGAGGGGGGGGAGGAGGAGGTGGAGGAGGAGGATGTGGAGGAGGAGGAGGCAACGGAAGACGAGGAGGAGGAGGAGGCGGGGGCAACTGAAGATGAGGAGGAAGAGGTGGTGGAGGAGGAGGAGGTGGAAGAGGTGGTGGAGGAGGAGGAGGTGGGGGAGGAGGGGGAGGAGGAGGAGGGGGAGGAGGAGGCAACGGAAGACGAGGAGGAGGGGGAGGAGGCGGGGGCAACTGAAGATGAGGAGGAAGAGGTGGTGGAGGAGGAGGAGGATGAGGTGGTAGAGGAGGAGGAGGAGGAGGTGGTGGAGGAGGAGGTGGAGGAGGCAATTGAAGACGAGGAGGAGGAGGTGGCGGCGGTCCCAGGCCTCCCGCAGCCGGAGTGCGCCGTCTGCGGCAAGGTCCCGCACAGCCTGTTTGTGGGCTGGGCGGCGCGCACGCAGCTCTGGCGGGCACCCCGCCACTCGCGGCCCACGCCCGTCGGTCTGGACGAACTGCCGGAGGCGGCCGTCTTGTCGTGGGAGACGCGTCTGCAGGCGCTGCTACGGAGCGCCGGCGTGGGCCACGCGACCTTCGAACTGCACGCTCACTCGGAGCCCGGCAGGCCCATGGGCCTCCTGTACAAGGTCTCCGTTCCCGGGATGATGCGGGAAGGCAGCGGCTTCTTCCCCGCGGTGCTGAGCTCCAGCGTGGAGGGAGCGCGCGAAGTTGCCAGCGAGCTCCTCCACGAAATCCTCGGCGACGCGAACCCGAGGGCTGGCCCGGCCCCCGTCGCGACGGCGCCTCCCGGCCGCCCCGTCCGGAACCTCTCGGCGTATCCCGGCGACTTCCCCGTGCCCCGGCAGCCGGTCGCCGCGCGCCTGCCGACAAGCGGCACGCACCCGTAGTGCCGCGTGGCCGTCGTGGCGGCGTTCGTCAGACCGCGGACGGTGTCCTACCGCTTGAAGCTCACATCCGTTCTGCCGTGTTCACCGTCAAACTGCAAGTTGCCCGGCCGCTCACTCGACATGGTCACGTTGCCGCATGCCAGAGCTCGCAATCGGGTACCCGTACACGTTCCCTACCCGATACCCGGCTACCCGTACCCGGCCGGGTACGGGTAGGGTACAGGTATCGGGTACCCGATTGCGACCTCTGGGATGAAGCCACGTTGCAGGCGCGGGTGGGTTGATTCTAGGAACTTGAATTGTGAGAAGAGACAAGACGTTGGCAAATGAGTGACACACGGTGACTCACCAGTGACTCACGGCTTACCCGTACCCGGCCGGGTACGGGTAGCCGGGTATTGGGTAGGGTACGGGTATCGGGTAACCGGGTATCGGGTAGGGTACGGGTAGCCGGGTATCGGGTAGGGTACGGGTATCGGGTAGGGTACGGGTAGCCGGGTATCGGGTAGGGTACGGGTATCGGGTAGGGTACGGGTATCGGGTAGGGTACGGGTAGCCGGGTATCGGGTAGGGTACGGGTATCGGGTAGGGTACGGGTACCGGGTACCCGGTTGCGACCTCTGCCGCTCGCTCTCCACTCAGCCGTCCGCCCCTTTCCTGTTTCCCTCGTTGGGCGGGACCAGCCCTGACTTCACGTTGTGCCTCATTTGACTCGTCACCCCGTGGCCCCGCACACGTCCTCGTCACACCAGGTGTCACCCTGTCATTACACTCTAATGACGACCGACAACTGAATCCGTAAAGACAAAATGATTTCAGGTGTTTGACGCGTCAACGCCATTTTGTTTTGAAAATGTCGGGGAGAAAAAAGTATTTTGTTCACGTCGCATTCTGATGTCAAAACATTTGATTCTTATCAAATTGAAAACTCTTCAGCGTAGCGACTTTGTTACACACGGAGAGGTCCGTGCACCGCCTCGTTTGCACAGCCTCTATCCCTGTGCCACGTGTAGTTCGTGCACACACAGCTGTTAAGAGTTTGATGTTTTGTTGATTCACAATTTACGTGTGTTTTCCTGTAATGGTTTTTTGTTAATGTTTTAGTGGAAATAAAGTCGTGAAAAGTCTCTTCCTCTCTCTCTCCCCACTCTCTCGGCCGAGTGTCGCATGCTTGGGACCTTTCTTTCCCTCCTCTGCGGATTTAATTTGATGTGCTGATTTACACCCAGCATATTTCAGACTTCCCTGTTTTGTCACGGCATGTTCCTGATCGTTACCAACGTTCCAATGGCCAGGAACTTCAGAGTAACCTATTACCTTTTCATGCAGCATCATCATATAATTTTCCTGGATCATCGCCTTTGTAGCTTTGATCAATTGCCAATGGTTTACCGGTTCGTGTTTGTATTTACTTGTGCCGCCCTCTTTCCCCGTGGGACCACGTGGCGTGAAGTTGTGTCGCACATGAACAGAGTCGGTGCACATCACGAGTTTCCGTACTCGACTGTCACAGAGACACACAGAGACATAGACACACACAGAGAGACACACACAGACACACATACAGAGACACACACACAGAGACATAGACACACACAGAGAGACACACACACACAGACATAGACACACAGAGAGACACACACAGACACACAGACACACACGCAGAGACACACAGAGACACACATGCAGAGACACAGACACACACACAGAGACACAGACACACACACAGAGGCATAGACACACACACAGAGACAGACACACACGCAGAGACACACAGACACACACATATGCAGAGACACAGACACACACACAGAGACACACACAGAGACACACAGTGACACACAGTTACACACAGACACACACACAGAGACATAGACACACACAGAGAGACACACACACAGAGACATGGACACACAGAGACACACGCAGAGACACACAGACACACAGATACATAGACACACACACAGAGACACACACACAGAGAGACACACACAGACACACACGCAGAGACACACAGAGACACATGCAGAGACACACACACAGAGACATAGACACACACACAGACACACACAGAGACACACACAGACACACACAGAGACACAGACACACACAGAGACACAGACACACACACAGACACACACATGCAGAGACACAGACACACACACAGAGACACACACAGAGACATGGACACACACGCAGACATGCAGAGACACACATGCAGAGACACAGACACACACACAGAGACACACACAGAGACATGGACACACACGCAGAGACACACAGAGACATGCACGCAGAGACACAAAGACACGCAGAGACATAGACACACAGACACACCGTTACAGACACGCACAGAGACCGGCAGTTGCTGCTGCTGCTGTTGCTGCTGCTGCTGTTGCCGCTGCTGTTGCTGCTGCAGTTGCTGCTGTTGCTACTGCTGCCGCTGTTGCTGCAGCTGCTGCAGCTGCTGCTGTTGCTGCTGCTGCTGCTACTACTGCTGCTGCTGTTGCTGCTGCTACTGCTGTTACTGCTGCTGCTGCTACTGCTGCTGTTGCTGCAGCTGCTGCATAGAGTTTGTGTCTCTCTGTCTCTCTGTTGTCGAGTGGATTTTCTTTCCGGGCCCTCTGGTTTTCCCCTCCACATTTGAGAGCCGTGAGTTGCTAGAGTCTTTGCCAACTGCTATAAAGGTTCACGTGATGATGATGATGAACCTCATTGGTAGAACTATAATCGGTAATGGCCAGGTCAGGGCCTTCTAAAAGAGAGCTTACACACACACACACAGCATCTCAATGAGGCCCTTGCCCGCTAAAAATAAAACGCGGTTTAGTTTCTAGTTCAAGTCTCGTGCACAACAACAACAGCATCATCACGATGCGCCCACCTGCTCAGAGCAGTTCCAGCCCAGGTAAGTGAACTTGCCACTTTTATTACCATCACCAGCACCACCACCAGCACCACAATGTCTCCCCCAGCAAACAACAAAACAGCTGGGCAGGCAGCGTCACTCACTCACGGGGCAGGCAGCCAGGCAGCGAGAGACGAGGCCACGTCTCCAACGCTGGGACACGTGGCGACGACAAACAGAACCGCGATGGGCAAAGCGACCCCCCCCCCCCCCCCCCGAGTCGAACGGACGACGCTTTTCTGTCGATTCTCTCGGATAGTTCTGGAAAATATGTCATGGACCTGCCCTCAACAACGCACGCTCACACTCACCACCACCCTCACCACCACCCACCCTCACCACCCTCACCACCACCACCCTCACCACCACCCACCCACCACCACCCACCACCCTCACCACCACCCTCACCACCACCACCCACCACCACCCACCCACCACCACCCACCCACCACCACCCTCACCACTCTGTGTGGTGAGTCTGTGGGTCTCTGTGTGATGGGTCTCTGTGTGGTGAGTCTGTGGGTCTCTGTGTGGTGAGTCTGTGGGTCTCTGTGTGGTAAGTCTGTGGGTCTCTGTGTGGTGAGTCTGTGGGTCTCTGTGTGGTGAGTCTGTGGGTCTCTGTGTGGTGAGTCTATGGGTCTCTGTGTGGTGAGTCTATGGGTCTCTGTGTGGTGAGTCTGTGGGTCTCTGTGTGGTGAGTCTGTGGGTCTCTGTGATGAGTCTGTGGGTCTCTGTGTGGTGAGTCTATGGGTCTCTGTGTGGTGAGTCTATGGGTCTCTGTGTGGTGAGTCTATGGGTCTCTGTGTGGTGAGTCTGTGGGTCTCTGTGATGAGTCTGTGGGTCTCTGTGATGAGTCTGTGGGTCTCTGTGTGGTGAGTCTGTGGGTCTCTGTGTGGTGAGTCTGTGGGTCTCTGTGTGGTGAGTCTGTGGGTCTCTGTATGGTGAGTCTGTGGGACTCTGCTGTGTGAGTCTGTGGGTCTCTGTGTGGTGAGTCTGTGGGTCTCTGTGTGGTGAGTCTGTGGGTCTCTGTGTGGTGAGTCTGTGGGTCTCTGAGTGGTGAGTCTGTGGGTCTCTGAGTGGTGAGTCTGTGGGTCTCTGAGTGGTGAGTCTATGGGTCTCTGTGTGGTGAGTCTATGGGTCTGTGTGTAGTGAGTCTGTGGGTCTCTGTGTGGTGAGTCTGTGGGTCTCTGTGTGGTGACTCTGTGGGTCTCTGTGTGGTGAGTCTGTGGGTCTCTGAGTGGTGAGTCTGTGGGTCTCTGTGTGGTGAGTCTGTGGGTCTCTGTGTGGTGAGTCTGTGGGTCTCTGTGTGGTGAGTCTGTGGGTCTCTGTGTGGTGAGTCTGTGGGTCTCTGAGTGGTGAGTCTGTGGGTCTCTGAGTGGTGAGTCTGTGGGTCTCTGAGTGGTGAGTCTGTGGGTCTCTGAGTGGTGAGTCTATGGGTCTCTGTGTGGTGAGTCTATGGGTCTGTGTGTAGTGAGTCTGTGGGTCTCTGTGTGGTGAGTCTGTGGGTCTCTGTGTGGTGACTCTGTGGGTCTCTGTGTGGTGAGTCTGTGGGTCTCTGAGTGGTGAGTCTGTGGGTCTCTGAGTGGTGAGTCTGTGGGTCTCTGTGTGGTGAGTCTGTGGGTCTCTGTGTGGTGAGTCTGTGGGTCTCTGAGTGGTGAGTCTGTGGGTCTCTGAGTGGTGAGTCTATGGGTCTCTGTGTGGTGAGTCTGTGGGTCTCTGTGTGGTGAGTCTGTGGGTCTCTGTGTGGTGAGTCTACGGGTCTCTGAGTGGTGAGTCTGTGGGTCTCTGTGTGAGTGAGTCTATAGGTCTGTGTGAGTGAGTCTATGGGTCTCTGTGTGAGTGAGTCTATGGGTCTCTGTGTGAGTGAGTCTATGGGTCTCTGTGTGAGTGAGTCTATGGGTCTCTGTGTGAGTGAGTCTATGGGTCTCTGTGTGATGAGTCTGTGGGTCTCTGTGTGGTGGGTCTATGGGTCTCTGTGTGGTGAGTCTATGGGTCTCTGTGTGTGAGTCTAAGGGTCTCTGTGTGGTGAGTCTACGGGTCTCTGAGTGGTGAGTCTGTGGGTCGCTGTGTGGTGAGTCTGTGGGTCTCTGTGTGGTGAGTCTGTGGATCTCTGTGTGGGTCTCTGTGTGATAAGTCTGTGGTTCTCTGTGTGGTGAGTCTGTGGGTCTCTGTGTGGTGAGTCTATGGGTGTCTGTGTGGTGAGTCTGTGGGTCCTCTGTGTGGCTCTCTGTGTGATGAGTCTGTGGGTCTATTTGTGGTGAGTCTATGGGTGTCTGTGTGGTGAGTCTGTGGGTCTCTGTGCGAGTCTTTGGGTCTCTGTGTGGTGAGTCTGTGGGTCTCTGTGTGGCGAGTCTTTGGGTCTCTGTGTGAGTACCGGACATCACACAACTAAAAGCTTCAATATAAAGTCGGGGTGAGGGGGGTGGGTGAGAAATAACTTTTCACCATCAATATAACAACAGCAACAAGGACGGTACTACTACAGTGGCCGCCTTGCCCACAAACACACAAACTTCCGACTCCGACTCTTGACACCTCATCCTCCACCTCTTCTCCTCTTACACCTCCGTCTCCGCGTGCCGCTCCGTCATCCGCGCCGTGGCGGCCTCCTCGTCGCTGGAGGGAGCGGAGAAAGTAGGCGAGGGTGATGCGCACGTACCGGGCAGCGCGTGAGAGTGCACGGACAGTGGAACTTATTCGCGCCCGTTTCGTAGACTAAACATTTCTAATTCGGAAGACGTCGCGCGACCACCGAATAAACATCGGCGGGCGTCGTCAAGGGTGGGGATCGAACCCACGACCTCCTGCGTGCCAGGCGAGGTGGTCAACATCTCTCAGTGTCTGGGATTGAACCCACGACCTCCTGCGTGCCAGGCGAGGTGGTCAACATCTCTCAGTGTCTGGGATCGAACCCACGACCTCCTGCGTGCCAGGCGAGGTGGTCAACATCTCTCAGTGTCTGGCATCGAACCCACGACCTCCTGCGTGCCAGGCGAGGTGGTCAACATCTCTCAGTGTCTGGCATTGAACCCACGACCTCCTGCGTGCCAGGCGAGGTGGTCAACATCTCTCAGTGTCTGGGATTGAACCCACGACCTCCTGCGTACCAGGCGAGGTGGTCAACATCTCTCAGTGTCTGGGATTGAACCCACGACCTCCTGCGTGCCAGGCGAGGTGGTCAACATCTCTCAGTGTCTGGGATTGAACCCACGACCTCCTGCGTACCAGGCGAGGTAGTCAACATCTCTCAGTGTCTGGGATTGAACCCACGACCTCCTGCGTACCAGGCGAGCTGGTCAACATCTCTCAGTGTCTGGGATTAAACCCACGACCTCCTGCGTGCCAGGCGAGGTGGTCAACATCTCCCAGTGTCTGGGATTGAACCCACGACCTCCTGCGTGCCAGGCGAGGTAGTCAACATCTCTCAGTGTCTGGGATTGAACCCACGACCTCCTGCGTGCCAGGCGAGGTGGTCAACATCTCTCAGTGTCTGGGATTGAACCCACGACCTCCTGCGTTCCAGGCGAGGTGGTCAACATCTCTCAGTGTCTGGGATTGAACCCACGACCTCCTGCGTTCCAGGCGAGGTAGTCAACATCTCTCAGTGTCTGGGATTGAACCCACGACCTCCTCCGTGCCAGGCGAGGTGGTCAACATCTCTCAGTGTCTGAGATTGAACCCACGACCTCCTGCGTGCCAGGCGAGGTGGTCAACATCTCTCAGTGTCTGGGATTGAACCCACGACCTCCTGCGTACCAGGCGAGGTGGTCAACATCTCTCAGTGTCTGAGATTGAACCCACGACCTCCTCCGTGCCAGGCGAGGTGGTCAACATCTCTCAGTGTCTGGGATTGAACCCACGACCTCCTGCGTACCAGGCGAGGTGGTCAACATCTCTCAGTGTCTGGGATTGAACCCACGACCTCCTGCGTACCAGGCGAGGTAGTCAACATCTCTCAGTGTCTGGGATTGAACCCACGACCTCCTGCGTACCAGGCGAGGTAGTCAACATCTCTCAGTGTCTGGGATTGAACCCACGACCTCCTGTGTACCAGGCGAGGTGGTCAACATCTCTCAGTGTCTGGGATTGAACCCACGACCTCCTGCGTGCCAGGCGAGGTGGTCAACATCTCTCAGTTTCTGGGATTGAACCCACGACCTCCTGCGTACCAGGCGAGGTGGTCAAGAACTCTCTGTCTGGGATGGTGGTGGCGGCGGTGGTGGCGGTGATGGTGGCGGTGATGGTGGTGGTGGTGACGGTGACGGTGGTGGTGGCAGTGGTGGTGGCGGTGGTGATGATGATGGTGGTGGTGGTGATGGTGGTGGCGGTGGTGGTGACGGTGGTGGTGGTGGCGGTGGTGCTGGTGGCGATGGTGATGGTGGTGGTGATGATGATGATGGTGGTGGTGGCGGTGGTGGTAGTGATGGCGGTGGTGGTGGTGATGGTGGTGGTGACGGTGGTGGTGATGATGATGGTGGTGGTGGTGGCGGTGGTGGTAGTGATGGCGGTGGTGGTGCTGGTGGCGATGGTGATGGTGGTGGTGATGATGATGGTGGTGGTGGTGGCGGTGGTGATGATGATGGTGGTGGTGGCGGTGGCGGTGACGGTGGTGGCGGTGGTGGTGGCGGTGGTGGTGACGGTGGTGACGGTGGTGGTGATGGTGGTGGTGGTGACGGTGGTGACGGTGGTGGTGTTGGTGGTGTTAGTGTTGGTGGCTACCTGCACTCGGCAGAGACGGCATCTCTCTCGGGCACCAGGCTCGGGGAGCTCCCTCCTTGCTCGTCCGCTGGGGAACGAGAACATCGCGCAGACTGCGGAGAGCAAACTCCAAATACACACCAGCAGCAGCAGGCGTCGTCAGGGTCGTGATCGAACCCACGACCTCCTGTGTACCAGGCGAGGCAGTCAACATCTCCGTAGCCACCACAACACTCACCGTCATCATCTCATAGCCACCACAACGCTCACCGGCAACATCTCATAGCCACCACAACGCTCACCGCCACGTTTGCCGGCGCTCCGTGTGCCCCACGCGGTGCACACCACGAAGGGGAGGATCGCCAGCACCGCTATGGCCGCCATGAAGCTGATGGAGGCGCTGCCGCCACCGGCGGGGAGCGTCGCCTCGTCTCCCGTAGACACCGCGGTGGTGGTGGTGGTGGTGGCGGCAGCGGTGGTGGTGGTGGCGGTGGTGGCTACGGGATTGGGGACACACGCGGGGAGATATGGTGAGACGCGGGGAAACAGAGAGACACAGTGAGACAGATACAAACAGAGAGACAGAGAGAGACAGGGAGACACAGACAGAGAGACACAGTGAGACAGACACAGACAGAGAAACAGAGAGAGAAACAGAGAGACACAGACAGAGAGACACAGTGAGACAGATACAGACAGAGAGACAGGGAGAAACAGACAGAGAGACACAGTGAGACAGATACAGAGAGAGACAGGGAGACACAGACAGAGAGACACAGTGAGACAGATACAGACAGAGAGACAGAGAGAGACAGAGATACACAGACAGAGAGACAGAGAGAGACAGACACAGACAGAGAAACAGAGAGAGAAACAGAGAGACACAGACAGAGAGACACAGTGAGACAGAGAGAGACAGGGAGACACAGACAGAGAGACACAGTGAGACAGATACAGACAGAGAGACAGGGAGACACAGACAGAGAGACACAGTGAGACAGATACAGACAGAGAGACAGAGAGAGACAGGGAGACACAGACAGAGAGACACAGTGAGACAGATACAGACAGAGAGACAGGGAGACACAAACAGACACAGTGAGACAGATACAGACAGAGAGACAGGGAGACACAGACAGAGAGACACAGTGAGACAGATACAGACAGAGAAACAGAGAGAGAAACAGAGAGACACAGACAGAGTGGGATGCTGAGCAGTGTTGTTGTATGAGGTTAGTGATGAGGTTTTGGTCTTCATCACTTTTCTGTCTGTCTTGTGTGCGTCTCTGTGTGTCTGTGTTTGTCTGTGTGTGGCAGTGTCTGTCCGTGTGTGTCTGTGTGTGTCTGTGGCTGTCTGTTTGTCTGTGTGTGTGGCCTGGCACAAGCGTCGTGGTGATGTCACCACCACTTAGTGGCAAATGGTGGTTGTTGTTGTCTGTGTGTGGCTGTGTGTGTCTGTCTGTGTCTGTGTGTCTGTCTGTGTGTGGCTGTGTATGTACCGTTCTGGCCTTCATAGGTGCTCGCTAACAGCACTTGCCACTACAGTCTGTTAAGGCTATACGGGGGATCTTTATCTGTCTGTGTCTGTCTGTGTGTGTCTGTCTATGTGTGTCTATTCAACATCGCTTTGCCAGGCACACTGAGGACAGGCTTGCGGAGCTCCAATGTGGTTTAAGAAAAGGGTGGTCCTGCACAGATGCCATATTTTCTGTCCGTCTGCTACAGCAGAGGTGTAGGGAATTCCAACAAGACCTACATCTCTGCTTTATTGACCTGGTCAAGGCCTATGATACCATCAGTAGGACTGGGCTCTGGGTCACTGTTCGTGCTTTTGCAGTCCCTGACCCTCTGCTCACGATTATTAAGGACCTTCGTGATGGTGAGCGGGCCCGGGTAAAACTACGTGGCTGGGAGTCAGAGCCATTCCCTTTTTACCTTGGGGTGCAACAGGGATGTCCTCTAGCTCCCACATTATTGAACATCTATTTTGACCACGGAGTTCGTGAAGCCTTCGATGGCTGTACCAGAGGAATTTCCATCTGGTACAGATACAATGGGAGGCTGATCGATGCCCAGGTGCGGTCAAGGGATGGCTCCCTATTGCTCAACCACGTTACGTATGCCGATGATCTGATAATTGCTGCTCACTCAGAAAGAGGAGTTGGAGGCGCTGCTGCTGAACCTGGAGCTTGCCACTAAGAGGTGGGGCCTTACCATCAGACCCACCAAAACTAAGCACCTGCCTGGGTATTTTGTATCATCGGACACTCCACCCCCACAACTCCCAATCGGTGATGGGGCAGTTGTGGAGAGAGTGGAGAATTTCCCATACCTGGACAGTGTGATCATGGCCGGCTCCGGTTTAACAGCAGAGGTCTCACTCCGAATCAGTCAAGCGGCAATATATTTTCATCGGTTGCGTAACGCTGTGTGGAAGCTACCTGGTCTGTCGCTCCGCACAAAGCTTCAGGTCTTCTCGGCCACAATCATTCCCTCCCTTCTCTACGCTTGCGAAAAGTGGACCCCCCTAATGGAACATATTCGCCGATTAAAAAGATTAAGGCTGGCCTGCCTACGATCCATCCTGGGTTTAAACAGGCTGGATTGTGTGAGGAGCTCACAAATCCCAGAAAGATTTGGACAAAGTCCCATCGGTGAGCTCCTCCGGCAGGCAAGGCTGCGTTGGCTGGGTCATGTAGCCCGCAAGCCCAGCCACCGCATGCCTAAACAGCTTTTGTTCGGCCGGACAGAGGGGGCTAAATGGGTGCGGCACTCATCCACCTACCCACTCAACCACTAACGCACCCACTCGCTCAACCACTCACCCAATCACTCACTCACCCACCCACTCACCCACCCACTCACCCACTCACTCACCCATTCACCCACCCACTTACTCACTCACCCACCCACTCACACACTCACCCACTCACTCACACACCTACCCACTCAACCACTAACGCACCCACTCGCTCAACCACTTACCCACCCACTCAGTCAACTACTCACCCAATCACTCACTCACCCACCCACTCACACACTCACCCACTCACTCACACACCCACTCACCCACTCACTCAAACACTCACCCACACACCCACTCACTCACACACTCACTCACCCACCCACTCACCCACTCACTCTCTCACCCACCCACTCACCCACCCACCCACTCACCCACCCACTCACCCACCCACTCACCCACTCACCCACTCACTCACCCACCCACTCACTCACCCACCCTACCCACTCACCCACCTACTCACCCACCCACTCATCCACTCACCCACCCACTCACTCACCCACCCACCCACTAGTCACTCACTCACTCACCCACCCACCCACTCACTCACTCACTCACCCACCCACCCACCCACCCACTCACCCACCCACTCACCCACCCACCCACTCACCCACTCACTCACTCACCCACCCACCCACTACTCACTCACTCACTCACCCACCCACTCACCCACCCACCCACTCACTCACCCACCCACTTACCCACCCACTCACCCACCCACCCACCCACTCACCCACTCACCCACCCACTCACCCACTCACCCACTCACTCACCCACTCACTCACCCACTCACTCACCCACTCACCCACCCACTCACCCACTCACCCACCCACCCACTCACCCACCCACTCACCCACCCACCCACTCACCCACTCACCCACCCACCCACTCACCCACCCACTCACCCACCCACTCACCCACTCACCCACTCACCCACTCACCCACCCACTCACCCACTCACCCACCCACTCACTCTCTCACCCACCCACCCACTCACCCACCCACTCACCCACCCACCCACCCACTCACTCACTCACTCACCCACCCACCCACCCACCCACTCACCCACCCACCCACCCACTCACTCTCTCACCCACCCACCCACTCACTCACCCACCCACCCACCCACCCACCCACCCACCCACCCACACACCCACCCACTCACCCACTCACCCACTCACTCACTCACCCACTCACCCACCCACTCACCCACCCACTCACCCACCCACCCACCCACCCACCCACTCACTCACCCACCCACCCACTCACCCACGGCGCTGTGTGGTGGAGGGACGGAGACACACGACAGGGGAGACCACTCCCCTGTCTTCCACCGCGGGTAGTTGACTACGACTCTCACGCGGACGCAGTACTCAGCAGCGCCTGCAGGCTGAGGCAGCGCGTGGCGGTAACGACATCCCAGAAAGCGCTCCTGGCAGGAGCAAGCAGATGGTCTCAGTGTGCTGGGTTACGTGGATGACACGTCGGTGGTCTGGCCACACGGCAAAGATACACTGAGCGCGTTTCTAAATCATCTCAACTCGCAAAACCCATCCATCCAAACACACACACATGTACATTGGCCACGTTCTGTTTACGTGACAACCCATACTAGTTGGCTGTGTCGGGTGGTCGCGGGTTTTAACGACACATCATTTATATATTTACGTGATCTAACCCAAAAACCTCTTATGGATGATATTGGTCGCGAAGCCTGCTACGTGTTAACCTGAGTATCATCATCAACAGTAGTAGCAGCAGCAGCAATAGCATCATCATCAGTAGTAGCAGCAGCAGCAGCAATAGCATCATCAGTAGTAGCAGCAGCAGCAATAGCATCATCATCAGTAGTAGCAGCATCACCACCCACCCACTCAACCACCCACTCAACCACCCACTCAACCGCCCACCCGCCCACCCACTCACTCACTCACTCACCCACCCACTCACTCACTCACCCACCCACCCACCCACCAACTCACCCACCCACCCACTCACTCACCCACCCACCCTCCCACTCACTCACTCACCCACCCATTCACTCACTCACCCACCCACCCACCCACTCACCCACCCACTCACCCACTCACCCACCCACTTACCCACTCACTCACCCACTCACCCACCCACCCACTCACTCACCCACTCACACACCCACCCACTCACCCACTTACCCACCCACCCACCCACTCACTCACTCACTCACCCACTCACTCACTCACCCACCCACCCACTCACCCACTCACTCACCCACCCACTCACCCACCCACTCACCCACCCACCCACTCACTCACTCACCCACCCACTCACCCACTCACTCACTCACCCACTCACCCATTCACTCACTCACCCACTCTCTCACCCACTCACTCACCCACTCACCCACCCACTCACCCACCCATCCACTCACTCACTCACTCACCCACCCACCCACCCACCTACCCACTCACCCACCCACCTAACCACCACCCACTCACCCACCCAACCACCACTCACCCACTCACCCACCCACCCACTCACCCACCCACTCACTCACTCACCCACTCACCCACCCACCCACCCACTCACCCACCCACCCACCCACTCACCCACCCACTCACTCACTCACCCACTCACCCACCCACCCACCCACCCACCCACTCACCCACCCACTCACTCACTCACCCACTCACCCACCCACCCACCCACCCACCCACTCACTCACCCACTCACTCACCCACCCACCCACCCACTCACCCACCCACCCACTCACCCACTCACCCACTCACTCACCCACCCACTCACCCACCCACCCACTCTCACCGTGCTAGTGACACCCCTCCTTGTGGAGACCTCGGCTTGCAGATGGTAG